TGATAGATGGCTCTGATGTAACACCCGAGGCTGGCATTTAGAGCCAGGAGACGAATTAAATCCTCTGTGCGTGAAAAGAGTCAGACAGCATCTTGGGGAAATACAGATTAACTGAGCAGTACTGACTGGATGCTCTAGGAAGAGGGGACCTTGTGCCCCTTGTTATTCCACAGCTCCCTGGATGAGATTGGCTCTAGTCCCTCAGAGAAACATATTGACAAAAAGAAGGAAGGTCGGTGATGGAAGGGTGGGAATTGTGTCCATCATCCCAATGGGTTGTGTAGGTGTTTTAAAAGGAATTTTTTTTTTTTGTGGAGATCTTCAAATGTACAGTTAATCTCGATGAAATCCTGTATAAGTGGTCTTTACCAAGTGAAGTGTCTTGCCAATACAGTTCGTTTCATCTGTTGACAGTTAGAGAATTGAACTTCTTTATTACGATGCTGTAAAACTGTGTTTTTTAACTTTTTAGAAGATCAACCATGATTACAGTTTGCTGTATAATTTTACACTGAGAAGTCTGATGTTATAAGAACTTATTTTCTACTATTGGCTGTATTCTCCATTTAGTATAGTTAACATAACTCCCGCTTTTGCTTTTTGTAGTCTGTTGGGACATCATTAATATTAAAACATGAAAACCTTGTGACTAAAGTATGAGGGAAACCATTTATACTTGATTTAAATTGAGACAAAATAATACATTTGCACCAACTGGGGATAGTTTCAAAGGGTAGGATGCCTGAATTCCAGGAAATCTGCCTATGACTCAGTTAATAAAGCATTGTGACATCAGAGTAGGCTATTGTGAAGTCAGTAATGTCATTTTTTCCCCCTCTCTCTCTTGTTCAGATCTCAGTTGTTTTCTTGGGAGGTTAATTGAGATGAAGTGATATAAAATGCCTCTGAGAGCTGTGGACTAATGCAGCAAAAGTGTTTATTGTGTCTGAATCACTTCTCCATATCTGAAAAATTCATTGACTCATGCCATGTATTTTCTAGTTTTAGGAGATTTGGTTTAATTGCAGCTTTTGATGAGCTTGGAAGTAGTAGCAGTTGGGCGTGCATATCTAGCCCATACACTCCGAGAAAACCTGCTCGCACCATTTGCTTAGCGTATTGCCCCCTAAGACCTCTGGATATCACAGTGAGATTCTAAAGAATCATGCAGATACTGTTATTCAAGAACCTTCATGTTGTTGCTAAACTGCAGTTCCCTATTTAATGGAGCATGGACTTGCTCCCTTTTCAGGAGACCAAGAAATTTGTTTTAACCAGTTGTCAAAATTATGGTTAGGCTGAACATTAGGAGCTAGGAATTTGTTTGATTGGGTTGTATTTAGTGTGCTGCTGTGCATCCTTGAAGTCATGGGGGAGAAGGGAGTCTGCATACGACACAAGGAGCAGTGATCATTTTGCCACGTGTGCAGCTGGAATGTGCGATTGCTGAGCAGCCTGGGCAGTGCTGGGACCCTGCAGCCCGCGGCTCTGCTGGCACTGCTGTCTGACGCAGGCGTGTGGTGTGTGCCGAGAAGGCTGGTCCTACATCTCTCATCCTCCCTTCAGTGCTAATGGCTGTGTACCCAGGCAGTAATGAAAAACTAATTTGGTTTCAAATCCATTGCTGTTTTTTCTTGTGGCCACTGAAGTCAAGAGTGAGGCAAGTGAATTTGGGAAGGCAGAACTGCCCCTTTTGTTATTGATGAAAGCTTATGCTGGAGTAAGTAAAAGTCATTGATATGCAATGATTTCTTTTTCCCTACCCTCCCTGTAGGAGGGAAGTAAATAGTGCTGCTGGTAAAAAAAAAAAAAAAAAAAAAAAAAAAAAAAAAAAAAAAANGTCTGCTTGGGCGAGGGCGAGAGGTCTTGTGACCAATCCCAGGCGCGCGCAGGAGCCGTGCCGCCTGATTGGCCGATTGTGGCGGCCGCGCGCAGGAGCCGTGCCGCCTGATTGGCCGGTTGTGTTTGAACTGGCAGCAAGTTCGCTGATGGAGAAAACAGTGTCGCACCGTAAAAGATTTCTGATTTTTAGATGAGTGTCATTTGTAAATGACACTAATTCTTACACTGACTCCAGTATAGAGTCTAAGGCTACCACTGGCCTTCACTGTAGTGATGACTACTATGAAAATTTCAACGTTGCGTTGATCTGGAACCATTTCATCTGGAGCCACCTGCTGAAATTAAGATTCCTCTACAAAGGTTTACAGAGATATGAAATGTCCAGCCTGTCCTTAAAGTGGAAAATGATGAGTTATTTATAGTCTTCAATGGTTTTTCAAATAGACAAAGCAAATTAGACCATTACTTGAAGTATAATTTTAGTGTTACATGTGTTTTTCCCTTTCTTAATTTTAGCCAAATGTTTTGCAAGTTCAGTTGTAGCTTTGACAGAAAATACTTCTATTACTCTGCCGACCCATATATCCAAAATGGAAATAAAAACTTATTTGTTGTTGTTACTACACAGATGGGCCTAGTCAACACAAAGCCTAACTCATACCTCATTCTCTCTCTCTTTGCCCCATCTCAGAACACATGTGAAAAGAGCTTCAGAATTTTTTTCGATAATACATTTTTGTTATACTTTCCATCTCTTTTATGTTCTCCATATGTAGGGATCAGGTGTTAGTGCTCTACAATCCTAAACATTGTATTTCATATTCGTTTG